AGTCTTCCGGAATCGTTCGAAACTTTTCGATGTGCTTTAGAGACTCGCGATGAATTACCGAAACCAGAAGTTTTGCGTGTTAAAATTTTAGAAGAATCTGAATCAAGAAAGTCGAAAGAGAATAGTGATGCGTCCAATGTCCTTTATGCTAAGAAATATCAACCTAAAGATAGACAAACGAAACCTAAGCAAAATAATGGATGTTTTAAGTGCGGAAAAGTCGGACATTTCGCGAAAAACTGTAAATCTAAAACCGGTAAGAATGTTCATAGTACACAAAAAGTGGAAGAAAATAGAAAACCGAATGTGTCATTGATGACAAAGGAAACAGTTTGTTTGTGTCCTGATTTGAAATCAAAATGGTGTTTGGACAGTGGTTGTACATCGCATATGACTGCCAATAAAGACAATTTTAAAAATATGTCGGCAGTGGATCAGACTTTGAACTTGGCAAATAATAATTGTACAAAAATTAGTGGAATCGGAAACGTTGAAGTTTCAGTAAATAATAGAGGTTCGGAAACAAATTTGGAATTAAAAGACGTTCTTTATGTAACCGATTTAAGAACGAACTTGCTGTCTGTGTCAAAAATAACAGACAAAGGTTACGAGGTAAGATTTCGCAAAAACGATGCAGTTGTAATCGGCAAAGGCAATAAGGTGATTTTAACAGCTGAAAGAGTCGGAAACTTGTACTATATTCAAAACCTGGAAAATTCTGTGAATATTGTTGAACCTAAGAATGAACTGGATGAGTGGCATTATAAAATGGGCCACATTAATGAAAGAGATTTAAAAGAAATGGCAAAGAGTGACGCAGTTTATGGTTTGAAATTCAGAAGTGATCTAAAATTATCACCCTGTGAGGTGTGCCTCAGTGAAAAGCAAACGCGGGAAAAATTTCCAAAGAATGAACACAAAACGTGTACAGATTTGCTTGAAATAATACATAGTGACGTTTGCGGACCGATGAGAAATGAGTCGAATGGTGGTGCAAAATATTTTGTAACTTTTATTGATGAAAAATCTCGCTGGTGCGAAGTATATTTTCTAAGCCACAAGTCGGAAGTACTTTCAGTTTTTCAGAAATTCAAAACGTATGCTGAAAATTTGACTGGTCGTAGAATCAAGGCGCTTCAGTCGGATAACGGTAAGGAATACTGTAATCGGGAATTCGACACATATTTGGAGAAATGTGGCATAAAACGACGACTTAGCACCCCATACACGCCACAACAGAATGGTATGGCAGAACGTAAAAACAGAACACTTGTGGAGATGGCCAGGTGTATGATGAAACATGCTGGTGCACCGTCATCATTTTGGGCCGAAGCTATAAATACTGCCTGTTATATTAGAAATCGATGTGTTACTTCAGCTACAGGAGAAATACCGTACAAAGTGTGGACAGATAAGAAACCTACCCTGATGCACATGCAAGTATTTGGTTCCAAGGGTTATGTTTTAAATAAGAAGGCCAAATCTAAATTTGAATCAAGATCTGAATTGTGTGTTTTTGTGGGCTATTCCTCAGAGTCAAAAGCCTATCGTATGTGGTGTCCGCGGAAAGGAGATGTTATTATCAGTAGAGACGTCAAATTTATAAATGAGAGTGGATTTGGAAAGTCCTATGATGGCTTCTACGAAACTAGGCCATGCGATGAAATTGAAATTGAGTATGAAGATAAGACTCCAGGATACGAGCAACAAGAGGAAACTTCAAATGAAGGTATGTCAAGTGACGTTGAAAACGAAACAATAATTGAAATTGCACGAACTCAAAAGAGATCCAGAGGACGTCCGAAACTTGAAAGAGATGGAAAAAGGGGAAGACCAAGAAAATTATTCCATAAAGAGCAAAATAATGAGGAAACGGATCAGCATGGGCTTACAGAGGATGAAACGTTCGAAGAGTGTGAGTTCGCATATTTGTCTAATCAAAGTGATCCGACAACAATAGATGAAGCATTAAAAAGCCCAGATGCAAATGAATGGGAAAAGGCTATAGAAGACGAATATATGTCCCAAATTAAGAACAATACTTGGGAAATAGTTGAGAAACCGCCTGAAAGGACTGTTGTGGGAAGTCGATTGGTATTTCGAACAAAAGGAGACGGGAAGAAAAAAGTACGATTAGTGGCAAAAGGATATGCACAACGACCCGGTGAAGATTTCCACGAAACCTACTCTCCAGTTGCGCGATCATCGTCAATTAGACTTTTGGCAGCTTTAGCAGCAGAATTTAATCTGGAAATGGAGTTAGATGAAAACGTATACATGCAAGTTCCCGATGAACTAGAACCAATGCTGTCAAGAATGAAAGATGATAAATCTTTTAAGAAATGCAGCGAAGAGGCAAAAGAAATTGGTTGCAGATGGCTTAAAGATTTGAAGAATAAGAAATATCCTGTTTGTAAGCTAAATAAAGCTTTATATGGTTTGCGCCAATCTGGTCTCATGTGGTACTACAAATTGACAGCGGAATTGAAATCATTAGGTCTGAAACCATGTGCGCAGGATCCGTGTTTATTCTCGAAAAGAGAAGGGAATAAGATTTTATTGATTTCCATATATGTTGACGACTTATTGTTGGCTTCCAATGATCCGAAATGGATAAACTCCATAAAGTTGTCACTATCCAAGTCGTTTGATATGAAGGATATTGGTCAAGTAAAGGAATGTTTGGGGATAACATTTGAACAAAATTGTGATTTAAATGAGGTGTTTCTGTCTCAACGTAAGTACGCCGAATTGTTACTTGATCGTTTTGGTATGACAGATTGTAAACCCTCCTCGACGCCCATGGAAGCAAATTGCAAATTGGCAGTACCGTCAAAAATGTGTAAAGTAACCATGTCTAAGTATCCATATCAGAAGTTAATAGGTGCATTAACGTTTTTAGCAGTCACAACGCGGCCTGATATTGCATATGCGGTAAATTTTATGAGTCAGTTCAATACAAACTACAGCGAAGAACATTGGAAAGCAGTTAAAAGAATACTGAGGTATTTGAAAGGAACTCTTGATTGTGGGCTTTCATACAAGAAAACGAATACATATTTATTTGGATTAGTCGACGCCGATTGGGGTGGAAATATGTCCGATCGTCGTTCATATTCTGGCTATGCATTTATACTGGCTGGAGGTGCAATTAGTTGGGAAGCACGAAAACAGAGAACGGTTTCGCTTTCCAGTACAGAGGCTGAATATATTGCTATAACGGAGGCAACTAAAGAGGCTCTTTACTTGAAAGAAATTTTGAAGAGTATTGGTTTGAATACAGGTGATGTCATTCTGTATAATGACAGTCAAAGTGCTCAAAAACTTGCACAAAATTTCGGATACAGCGCCCGTACAAAACATATTGATATTCGTCAACATTTCGTACGCGATTGTGTCAAAAATAAAGAAATATCACTTAAATATCTCTCAACGGAGAATATGCCTGCTGACTTGCTGACAAAAGGACTCAACAGAAACAAGCATAACTTTTGTTCGAAAAACTTGGGTTTAGATAATCAAGGACAGTAGTGTATTTACTTCGAGGGGAGGTGTTGTGGAAACGAAGCAATCCACTACTATTCTTATATAAAGAAGGCTTTGGCTTTTTGTATTGAGAATATGTCATTGAAAGAAAATTTTATTCATTGTCTATTCTTTGCACGAAACACATATAATTTGTTACGCATACAAATTGAAGAATAAATCAACTCGAATTCTATAATCCTATAATCCTCGCGTTTTAATAGTTTTCTTCGAAAAAAATAATTTTTAAAAATCCACGCCTAGGTTTTTTGCCCAGAAAAATAATTTTTAAAAAATCCACGCCTAGGTTTTTTGCCCAGAAAAATAATTTTTAAAAAATCCACGCCTAGGTTTTTTGCCCAGAAAAATAATTTTTAAAAAATCCACGCCTATGGTTTTCTCCGAAAAAAATAATTTTTAAAAATCCACGCCTATGGTTTTCTCCGAAAAAAATAATTTTTAAAAATCCACGCCTATGGTTTTCTCCGAAAAAAATAATTTTTAAAAATCCACGCCTATGGTTTTCTCCGAAAAAAATAATTTTTAAAAATCCACGCCTATGGTTTTCTCCGAAAAAAATAATTTTAAAAATCCACGCCTATGGTTTTCACCGAAAAAAATAATTTTTAAAAATCCACGCCTATGGTTTTCTCCGAAAAAAATAATTTTTAAAAATCCACGCCTATGGTTTTCTCCGAAAAAAATAATTTTTAAAAATCCACGCCTATGGTTTTCTCCGAAAAAAATAATTTTTAAAAATCCACGCCTATGGTTTTCTCCGAAAAAAATAATTTTTAAAAATCCACGCCTATGGTTTTCTCCGAAAAAAATAATTTTTAAAAATCCACGCCTATGGTTTTCTCCGAAAAAAATAATTTTTAAAAATCCACGCCTATGGTTTTCTCCGAAAAAAATAATTTTTAAAAATCCACGCCTATGGTTTTCTCCGAAAAAAATAATTTTTAAAAATCCACGCCTATGGTTTTCTCCGAAAAAAATAATTTTTAAAAATCCACGACTAGGTTTTTGCACAGAAAAATAATTTTTAAAAATCCACGCCTAGGTTTTTGCACAGAAAAATAATTTTTAAAAATCCACGCCTATGGTTTTCTCCGAAAAAAGTAATTTTTAAAAATCCACGACTATGGTTTTCTCCGAAAAAAATAATTTTTAAAAATCCACGCCTGGGTTTTATGACCAGAAAAATAATTTTTAAAAATACACGCTTAGTTTTTTTACCCAGAAAATTAATTTTTAAAAATCCATGCCTAAGTTTTTTGCCCAGAAAAATAATTTTGAAAAATCCATGCCTAGGTTTTTTGCCCAGAAAAATAATTTTTAAAAATCCACGCCTAGGTTTTTTGTCCAGAAAAATAATTTTTAAAAATCAACGCATTGGTTTATCTTTGGAAAAATAATTTTTAAAAATTCCCATTCCTTCCATAAGAAAACGATTTCAACATCCTCCAACTTACCCATTAAATCAATCCAGCTAAACACCAAATTTGTACAATAAACCATCATTGTTTCCGATCGGAAGTGGATATCCAAATCCACATATGATTTATTGCCACGTACATCCGGTGGCAGAAATGTCGGTCGGACATAGGTCATGTACTGCAATGAATAGCAATTATTGAAGCATTTGCACTTCATGCCGGTGTGGGTTTGGCGAACATATTCATCAGCGCCCTCTTGGTGAGTGTAGCGGAAATAATCTGAAAATTGATGAAATGCGCGAGGAAATCAATTATAGCAGGAATAGAAGAGGAGGAGGAGATAAGCATTTTTTATTGGCCTGAGTACACCTACCATTGTTACGTGCCAGGCACACCAAATCTGTTACGCGGCAGGGCTTGTATTGTCCTGTGGAAAAAGCGATGATTTTAGTTTTTTTTTTTTTTTTCAGATGAAAGGGGGAGGGGGTCGAAAATACCTGGTGGAAAAAGGATATCCATGGTGCAATTGCAGTACTTCTCCAAATAGCCTCGATGACATTCAGCATGGCAATTCTCAATCATATAATCGAAACCTTCCAAAACCTTGAAGTCATGGAGATGATGTTCGTCCTTCAGAAAAAAAAATATTTTTTAATGCATTTTTCTTTCAGGGCCCCTCAAATCAACAAAAATTAGTTAAAAACATTTTTTTAAGGATTCCAGGACTTTTTTAAAAATATTTTTTCAAGGACATTCCCCTGATACTCACATGGAACACACACTGCCTCTGGGCCGATGTCAAGCTCCTGGTATTTTCGTCATAGAAATAAATTGTGGGATCTATGCCAACCGTGGTGTCCGTGTTTTCCGGTATGAAAAATGGCTCCCGGTGCCAGACCTTGGGCTCCGAAACCATAACCTAAAAAATATTAAAAATCGGAAAAATTAAAATTCCATTTCAAAAAAATATCTCCCTCTCCAACTCACCAAAATCCCCTTCTCCACCTCCGAGCTGTAGTGGTTCTCCCGATTGATGAGCACCTTAACGGTCAGGGCACTTTGCGGACCCGCACTTCCCGTACGCCAAGGATATTTTGCATCATTTTTCTGCCTCTCCCTACCCTCCTCCGTCTCCAAGCTATTAAAACTCCAACAAATGCCACTCTTGCTGCGCCGCTTCAGGAATATATCACAGCAATTCATTTCACGATGACGCCACACGCAATCCTCCAGCAACTCATCACAGTTCCAGGCCATAAACTCATAGACCAGCGAGAAATTCACATTTGCCACTAACTGCAGGGTTTGATTTTCCAGCGGGGCAAATAAATCGAAATAGGCGAATTCGATACGATCATAGCGTCCTATGACCAATTCGAAGAGATTCAGCGTTTCGTTATCTGTCACGCCCGGCAAGAAACGTTCCTTGGCCTCATCGATGCGTTGCCAATTCAGGCGATTCACATTGCAAATGGTGATGGTGGGGAAGGGGATTTTATAGACCGGGGCACCGGTGTCGTCGACAATCGATTGCAGATTGCCGGCATTGAAACGATCCGAGAGGAAAATGCAAACATAGGTGGTACCAAAGACGGCCAGGCTGAGGGTCAGCAGCCAGAAAAGTCTGCAAAAAGGAGGGGAAAGATTTTTCTTAAATAAAAACGCGAACGAAAAAAAATATTCTTAAAAAATCCACGCCTTTGGTAGTCCTTGAAAAAATATTTTTTAAAAAATCCACGCCTTTGGTAGTCCTTGAAAAAATATTTTTTAAAACATCCACGCCTTTGGTAGTCCTTGAAAAAATATTTTTTTAAAAATCCACGCCTTTGGTAGTCCTTGAAAAAATATTTTTTTAAAAAATCCACGCCTTTGGTAGTCCTTGAAAAAATATTTTTTAAAAAATCCACGCCTTTGGTAGTCCTTGAAAAAATATTTTTTAAAAAATCCACGCCTTTGGTAGTCCTTGAAAAAATATTTTTTTAAAAAATCCACGCCTTTGGTAGTCCTTGAAAAAATATTTTTTAAAAAATCCACGCCTTTGGTAGTCCTTGAAAAAATATTTTTTAAAAAATCCACGCCTTGGTAGTCCTTGAAAAAATATTTTTAAAAAATCCACGCCTTGGTAGTCCTTGAAAAAATATTTTTTAAAAAATCCACGCCCTTGGTAGTCCTTGAAAAAATATTTTTTAAAAAATCCACGCCTTTGGTAGTCCTTGAAAAAATATTTTTAAAAAATCCACGCCTTTGGTAGTCCTTGAAAAATATTTTTTAAAAAATCCACGCCTTTGGTAGTCCTTGAAAAATATTTTTTAAAAAATCCACGCCTTATGTAGTCCTTGAAAAATATTTTTAAAAAATCCACGCCTTAAGTAGTCCTTGAAAAATATTTTTTAAAAAATCCACGCCTTTGGTAGTCCTTGAAAAAATATTTTTTAAAAAATCCACGCCTTTGGTAGTCCTTGAAAAAATATTTTTTAAAAAAATCCACGCCTTTGGTAGTCCTTGAAAAAATATTTTTTAAAAAATCCACGCCTTTGGTAGTCCTTGAAAAAATATTTTTTAAAAAATCCACGCCTTTGGTAGTCCTTGAAAAAATATTTTTTAAAAAATCCACGCCTTTGGTAGTCCTTGAAAAAATATTTTTTAAAAAATCCACGCCTTTGGTAGTCCTTGAAAAAATATTTTTTAAAAAATCCACGCCTTTGGTAGTCCTTGAAAAAATATTTTTTAAAAAATCCACGCCTTTGGTAGTCCTTGAAAAAATATTTTTTAAAAAATCCACGCCTTTGGTAGTCCTTGAAAAAATATTTTTTAAAAAATCCACGCCTTTGGTAGTCCTTGAAAAATATTTTTTAAAAAATCCACGCCTCTGGTAGTCCTTGAAAAAATATTTTTAAAAAATCCACGCCTTTGGTAGTCCTTGAAAAAATATTTTTTAAAAAATCCACGCCTTTGGTAGTCCTTGAAAAAATATTTTTTAAAAAATCCACGCCTTTGGTAGTCCTTGAAAAAATATTTTTTAAAAAATCCACGCCTTTGGTAGTCCTTGAAAAAATATTTTTTAAAAAATCCACGCCTTTGGTAGTCCTTGAAAAAATATTTTTTAAAAAATCCACGCCTTTGGTAGTCCTTGAAAAAATATTTTTTAAAAAATCCACGCCTATGGTAGTCCTTGAAAAAATATTTTTTAAAAAATCCACGCCTTTGGTAGTCCTTGAAAAAATATTTTTTAAAAAATCCACGCCTTTGGTAGTCCTTGAAAAAATATTTTTTAAAAAATCCACGCCTTTGGTAGTCCTTGAAAAAATATTTTTTAAAAAATCCACGCCTGTGGTAGTCCTTGAAAAAATATTTTTTAAAAAATCCACGCCTTTGGTAGTCCTTGAAAAAATATTTTTTAAAAATTCCACGCCTTTGGTAGTCCTTGAAAAAATATTTTTTAAAAAATCCACGCCTTTGGTAGTCCTTGAAAAAATATTTTTTAAAAAATCCACGCCTTTGGTAGTCCTTGAAAAAATATTTTTAAAAAATCCACGCCTTTGGTAGTCCTTGAAAAAATATTTTTTAAAAAATCCACGCCTTTGGTAGTCCTTGAAAAAATATTTTTTAAAAAATCCACGCCTTTGGTAGTCCTTGAAAAAATATTTTTTAAAAAATCCACGCCTTTGGTAGTCCTTGAAAAAATATTTTTTAAAAAATCCACGCCTTTGGTAGTCCTTGAAAAAATATTTTTTAAAAAATCCACGCCTTTGGTAGTCCTTGAAAAAATATTTTTTAAAAAATCCACGCCTTTGGTAGTCCTTGAAAAAATATTTTTTAAAAAATCCACGCCTTTGGTAGTCCTTGAAAAAATATTTTTTAAAAAATCCACGCCTTATATAGAGCTTGAAAAAATATTCTTAAAAAAATCCACTCCTTATAAAGAGCTTGAAAAAATATTCTTAAAAAAATCCACGCCTTATATAGAGCTTGAAAAAATATTTTTAAAAAAATCCACGCCTTATATAGACCTTGAAAAAATATTTTTTAAAAAATCCACGCCTTATATAGACCTTGAAAAAATATTATTTAAAAAATATTTTTTTAAAAAATCCACGCCTTACTGGGAGGTCGTTGAAAAAATATTATTTAAAAAATCCACGCCTTTGGTAGTCCTTGAAAAAATATTTTTTAAAAAATCCACGCCTTTGGTAGTCCTTGAAAAAATATTTTTTAAAAAATCCACGCCTTATATAGACCTTGAAAAAATATTATTTAAAAAATATTTTTTAAAAAATGCACGCCTTACTGGGAGGTCCTTGAAAAAATATTATTTAAAAAATATTTTTTAAAAAATCCACGCCTTTGGTAGTCCTTGTAAAAATATTCTTTAAAAAATATTTTTTAAAAAATCCACGCCTTACTGGGAGGTCCTTGAAAAAATATTATTTAAAAAATATTTTTTAAAAAATCCACGCCTTTGGTAGTCCTTGTAAAAATATTCTTTAAAAAATATTTTTTAAAAAATCCACACCTTACTGGGAGGTCCTTGAAAAAATATTATTTAAAAAATATTTTTTAAAAAATCCACGCCTTACTGGGAGGTCCTTGAAAAAATATTATTTAAAAAATATTTTTTTAAAAAATCCACGCCTTACTGGGAGGTCCTTGAAAAAATATTATTTAAAGAATATTTTTTTTAAAAATCCACGCCTTTGGTAGTCCTTGTAAAAATATTCTTTAAAAAATATTTTTTAAAAAATCCACGCCTTACTGGGAGGTCCTTGAAAAAATATTATTTAAAAATATTTTTTAAAAAATCCACGCCTTACTGGGAGGTCCTTGAAAAAATATTATTTAAAAATATTTTTTTAAAAAATCCACGCCTTTGGTAGTTCTTGTAAAAATATTCTTTAAAAAATATTTTTTAAAAAATCCACGCCTTACTGGGAGGTCCTTGAAAAAATATTATTTAAAAAATATTTTTTAAAAAATCCACGCCTTACTGGGAGGTCGTTGAAAAAATATTTTTTTAAAAAATCCACGCCTTACTGGGAGGTCGTTGAAAAAATATTTTTTTAAAAAATCCACGCCTTACTGGGAGGTCGTTGAAAAAATATTTTTTTAAAAAATCCACGCCTTACTGGGAGGTCGTTGAAAAAATATTATTTAAAAAATCCACGCCTTTGGTAGTCCTTGAAAAAATATTTTTTAAAAAATCCACGCCTTTGGTAGTCCTTGAAAAAATGTTTTTTAAAAAATCCACGCCTTTGGTAGTCCTTGAAAAAATATTTTTTACAAAATCCACGCCTTTGGTAGTCCTTGAAAAAATATTTTTTAAAAAATCCGCGCCTTTGGTAGTCCTTGAAAAAATATTTTTTAAAAAATATTTTTTAAAAAATCCACGCCTTACTGGGAGGTCCTTGAAAAAATATTATTTAAAAAATATTTTTTAAAAAATCCACGCCTTTGGTAGTCCTTGTAAAAATATTCTTTAAAAAATATTTTTTAAAAAATCCACGCCTTACTGGGAGGTCCTTGAAAAAATATTATTTAAAAAATATTTTTTAAAAATTCCACGCCTTATTGGGAGGTCCTTGAAAAAATATTATTTAAAAAATATTTTTTAAAAAATCCACGCCTTTGGTAGTCCTTGTAAAAATATTCTTTAAAAAATATTTTTTAAAAAATCCACGCCTTACTGGGAGGTCGTTGAAAAAATATTATTTAAAAAATCCACGCCTTACTGGGAGGTCGTTGAAAAAATATTTTTTTAAAAAATCCACGCCTTAATGGGAGGTCGTTGAAAAAATATTATTTTAAAAATCCACGCCTTTGGTAGTCCTTGAAAAAATATTTTTTAAAAATCCACGCCTTTGGTAGTCCTTGAAAAAATATTTTTAAAAAATCCACGCCTTTGGTAGTCCTTGAAAAATATTTTTTAAAAAATCCACGCCTTTGGTAGTCCTTGAAAAAATATTTTTTAAAAAATCCACGCCTTTGGTAGTCCTTGAAAAAATATTTTTTAAAAAATCCACGCCTTTGGTAGTCCTTGAAAAAATATTTTTTAAAAAATCCACGCCTTTGGTAGTCCTTGAAAAAATATTTTTTAAAAAATCCACGCCTTTGGTAGTCCTTGAAAAAATATTTTTTAAAAAATCCACGCCTTTGGTAGTCCTTGAAAAAATATTTTTTAAAAAATCCACGCCTTTGGTAGTCCTTGAAAAAATATTTTTAAAAAATCCACGCCTTTGGTAGTCCTTGAAAAAATATTTTTTAAAAAATCCACGCCTTTGGTAGTCCTTGAAAAAATATTTTTTAAAAAATCCACGCCTTTGGTAGTCCTTGAAAAAATATTTTTTAAAAAATTGCACGCCTTATATAGAGGTTGAAAAAATATTCTTTAAAAAATCCACGCCTTATATAGAGCTTGAAAAAATATTCTTAAAAAAAGCCACGCCTTATAAAGAGCTTAAAAAATATTCTTAAAAAAATCCACGCCTTATAAAGAGCTTGAAAAAATATTCTTAAAAAAATCCACGCCTTATATAGAGCTTGAAAAAATATTCTTAAAAATCCACGCCTTATATAGAGCTTGAAAAAATATTCTTAAAAAATCCACGCCTTATATAGAGCTTGAAAAAATATTCTTTAAAAAATCCACGCATCGGTTGGTCCTTGAAAAAAATATTCTTTAAAAAACCCACGCATCGGTTGGTCCTTGAAAAAAATATTCTTTAAAAAATCCACGCCTCTTGTGGACCTTGAAAAAATATTCTTTAAAAAATCCACGCCTCTTGTAGACCCTGAGAAAATATTCTTTAAAAAATCCACGCCTGTGTTTGGTCCTTAAAAAAATACCCCTTAGAGAATCTGCATATATGCGAAATGTTCTATTTAATTTGTTGTTATTTATATCCTTTTCCTGACAACATTCTTAATAGGTGTTGAGAATTTTCAAAAATATATTCTGCATAATTGGCACGCGACCATTTTTGCAAAGCCATGTGCTAGCTTCGTGACAAAATGTCATTTTTATAGAAATAGTTGCAAAAAAATCTGGTGCAGTGTGTCATTTGTTTTCTGCCAGAGTTAGAGGAAGTCCTTTTGAGAAGGTAGTTCAAGGCAATGACTTAAATGAGGACTATATTTAAATCGCTCTCCAAATCAAATGAGCCTCCTTTTAATAAAAATATCCTTAAGGTCCATCCACAGAGATTTCAAATAATCAAATTCTTCCGAACAAGGTTTAAGTTTTCGGACATCAGTCCGTAGCAGACCAAAAACGTTTTCCGATTTTTTTAAGTCTTTTCAAAGCCACCTAACCAAGGACCCTATAACGTCCTCTATTGACCACAAGTCTCGACTCCACACTCACCTCTCATATTTATTGGCATTGCGATTGAACAACCGTCCCATGCCATGTACCGTGGTCTTCTCACTGAAGGCAGCCAACAACTCCAAGAGATCATCCTTCAGCTTGAGCAGATATTCCTTGCGACTGGCACAGCTGCGATTTTGGGAATCACGATGAGAATATTTCTGATTGAGGCGACGAATGGCCTCCGGTTGGGCTGGCCTGAAATCCGGATAGGCCATTATGGCCATAGCATTACAATACCGACTGCTTGCGAGAGAAAAAAAACCGTTTGACAATTCCTAAAGGATAACGAGTGTCCTTCTTGGCCAAGGGCCAAATTATAACTAATCCGTCACCAGCCAGTCAATTATCATTTCTATGTCGAAAAAATGAAGTTTATGGCCGCCTGTAATGTTTTGATGCCCATTGACATTTCCAGTCAAGTTTGCTCTCTATGCAAACAGGATAAAGGATAATAATGGGGTGGCATAGGCAACACAGGGGAACAAGGATTTTGACAAAAAATAAAAATGACTAACGAAAAATGTATTTTTGGGGATTTTCTCAAGGAACACAGGCGTGGATTTTTAAAAAATATTTTTTCAAGGACTCACCAAAGGCGAGGATTTTTAAAAAATATTTTTTCAAGGACTGACCAAAGACTTGGATTTTTAAAAAATATTTTTTCAAGGACTCACCAAAGGCGGGGATTTTTAAAAAATATTTTTTCAAGGACTGACCAAAGACTTGGATTTTTAAAAAATATTTTTTCAAGGACTCACCAAAGGCGGGGATTTTTAAAAAATATTTTTTCAACGACTAATTAAATGCGTGGATTTTTAAAAAATATTTTTTCAAGGACCAAACGCATGCGTGGATTTTTTAAAGAATATTTTTTCAAGGGCCAAACACAGGCGTGGATTTTTTAAAAAATGATTTTTGAAGGACCAAACACAGGCGTGGATTTTTTAAAGAATATTTTTTCAAGGACCAAACACAGGCGTGGATTTTTTAAAGAATATTTTTTCAAGGACTAACCAAAGGCGTGGATTTTTAAAAAATATTTTTTCAAGGACTAACCAAAGGCGTGGATTTTTTAAAGAATATTTTTCCCAGGACCAAATACAGGCGTGGATTTTTTAAAGAATATTTTTTCAAGGACCAAATACAGGCGTGGATTTTTTAAAGAATATTTTTTCAAGGACCAAATACAGGCGTGGATTTTTTAAAAAATATTTTTTCCAGGACTAACCAAAGGTGGATTTTTTAAAGAATATTTTTTCAAGGACTAACCAAAGGCGTGGATTTTTTAAAAAATATTTTTTCAAGGACTAACCAAAGGCGTGGATTTTTTAAAGAATATTTTTCCCAGGACCAAACACAGGCGTGGATTTTTTATAGACTATTTTTTCAAGGACCAAATACAGGCGTGGATTTTTTAAAAAATATTTTTTCAAGGACCAAACACAGGCGTGGATTTTTTAAAGAATATTTTTTCAAGGACTAACCAAAGGCGTGGATTTTTTAAAAAATATTTTTTCAAGGACTAACCAAAGGCGTGGATTTTTTAAAGAATATTTTTTCAAGGACCAAACACAGGCGTAGATTTTTTAAAGAATATCTTTTCAAGGACCAAACACAGGCGTGGATTTTTTAAAGAATATTTTTTCAAGGACCAAACACAGGCGTGGATTTTTTAAAGAATATTTTTTCAAGGACCAAACACAGGCGTGGATTTTTTAAAGAATATTTTTTCAAGGACCAAACACAGGCGTGGATTTTTTAAAGAATATTTTTTCAAGGACCAAACACAGGCGTGGATTTTTAAAAGAATATTTTTTCAAGGACCAAACACAGGCGTGGATTTTTTAAAGAATATTTTTTCAAGGACCAAACACAGGCGTGGATTTTTAAAGAATATTTTTTCAAGGACCAAACACAGGCGTGGATTTTTTTAAAGAATATTTTTTCAAGGACCAAACACAGGCGTGGATTTTTTAAAGAATATTTTTTCAAGGACCAAACACAGGCGTGGATTTTTTAAAGAATATTTTTCAAGGACCAAACACAGGCGTGGATTTTTTAAAGAATATTTTTTCAAGGACCAAACACAGGCGTGGATTTTTTAAAGAATATTTTTTCAAGGACCAAACACAGGCGTGGATTTTTTAAAGAATATTTTTTCAAGGACCAAACACAGGCGTGGATTTTTTAAAGAATATTTTTTCAAGGACCAAACACAGGCGTGGATTTTTTAAAGAATATTTTTTCAAGGACCAAACACAGGCGTGGATTTTTTAAAGAATATTTTTTAAAGGACTAACCAAAGGCGTGGATTTTTAAAAAATATTTTTTCAATGACTAACCAAAGGCATGGATTTTTTAAAGAATATTTTTCAAGGACTAACCAAAGGCGTGGATTTTTAAAAATATTTTTTCAAGGACCAATAGAGGCGTGGATTTTTTAAAGAATATATTTTCAAGGACCAATAGAGGCGTGGATTTTTAAAAATATTTTCTCAAGGACAAACCGAAGGCGTGGATTTTTAAAAATATTTTTTCAAGGACCAATAGAGGCGTGGATTTTTTAAAGAATATATTTTCAAGGACCAATAGAGGCGTGGATTTTTAAAAAATATTTTCTCAAGGACTAACCGAAGGCGTGGATTTTTAAAAAATATTTTTTCAAGGACCAATAGAGGCGTGGATTTTTTAAAGAATATATTTTCAAGGACCAATAGAGGCGTGGATTTTTAAAAAATATTTTTTCAAGGACTAACCAAAGGCGTGGATTCTTAAAAAATATTTTTTCAAGGACTAACCAAAGGTGTGGATTTTTAAAAAATATTTTTTTAAGGACTAAACAAAGGCGTGGATTTTTAAAAAATATTTTTTTAAGGACCAATAGAGGCGTGGATTTTTAAAAAATATTTTTTTAAGGACCAATAGAGGCGTGGATTTTTAAAAAATATTTTTTCAAGGACCAATAGAGGCGTGGATTTTTAAAAAATATTTTTTTAAGGACTAACCAAAGGCGTGGATTTTTAAAAAAATATTTTTTTAAGGACTAACGAAAGGCATGGATTTTTAAAAAATATTTTTTCAAGGACCAAAAACAGGTGTGGAGTTTTTAAAAAAAAATTAAGGACTAACCAAAGGCATGGATTTTTAAAAAATATTTTTTCAAAGACTAACGAAAGGCATGGATTTTTAAAAAATATTTTTTCAAAGACTAACGAAAGGCATGGATTTTTAAAAAATATTTTTTCAAGGACCAAAAACAGGTGTGGATTTAAAAAAAAATCAAGGACTAACCAAAGGCATGGATTTTTAAAAAATATTTTTTCAAAGACTAACGAAAGGCATGGATTTTTAAAAAATATTTTTTTAAGGACCAAAAACAGGTGTGGATTTTTTTTTTAAAAAAAAATTAAGGACTTAGCGAAGGCGTGGATTCTTAAAAAATATTTTTTCAAAGACTAACCAAAGGCGTGGATTTTTAAAAAAATATTTTTTCAAGGACTAACCATAAGCGTTGATTTTTAAAAAAAATTTTCAAGGACTAACCAAATGCGCGGATTTTTAAAAAAATAGTTTTTCAAGGACTAAACATAGGCGTTAATTTTTAAAAATTATTTTTTCAAGGACTAACCAAAGGCGTGGATTGTTAAGAAATATTTTTCAAGGACCAAACACAGCACCAAAAGATATTTTATTTATAAGAAAATATTTTTTTGCAATTACAAACAGGTCGTAGATTTCTCAAAAAA